TGTCATTCATCGTGGCCGAGTGCTTACTTTAGATTTACAAGATACTAATATACTGTATCTAGAGGACCCATCAAGTATCTATATTTTCATATACTTACAGAAAAACTAGTGTATGTATCTACGTGTATGTGTAGCCTGTATATCTATCTATCTATTCACATTTACATACATACACAAATATATATATATGTGTGTGTGTGTGTGTGTGTGTGTGTGTGTGTGTATAAAATATATATGATATATATATATTTACATATATGCATATATACACATATGTATACATATATACACGTACACGTACGCGTACACGTACACACAAACACACATAAACACACACACACGCACGCACGAACGCACGCACGCACGCACGCACGCACGCACACACACACACACACACACACACACACACACACACACACGCGCGCGCGCACACGCACGTGCGCACACACACACACATGCACGCACGCACACGCACACAAACACCCACACCCACACGCGCGCGCGCGCGCAAACACACACACACGCACAAGCGCGTGTGCAAACATACACCCACACGCACACACACACATACAAACACACACATACACACACATACATACATACATATGCATATATATATGCATACATAAAAGTATATATATATATATATATATATATATATATATATATATATATATATATATATATACATATACATATGCATAATATATGCATATATATATATATATATATATATAATATATATATATATATATATATATATATATATATATATATATATATATACATATATATATAATATATATATATATATATATATATATATATATATAATATATATATATATATATATATATATATATATATATATATATATATATATATATATATATATATATATATATGCATGTATGTATTACCACACACACACACACACACACACACACACACACACACACACACACACACACACACACACACACACACACACACACACACACATATATATGTATATGTACCTATACATATACATGCCTTTCCTTATGTACGGCCTATTAATTTAAACTGTGATAGTAGAAAAGAAAACTATTTATAATTCAAAGTAAAAAAAAAAATAACCTCATCATTAAAATCGATCAGTAAAATATATTTCATATTCAACCATCTGGTATCAGCAAGTCAGTAAACGCTAACTGGCCTCCTCCCTAGCCGACTATATATAGTGGAGGGCGCCACATTCACCCTAGTTGTTTGTGTAACCGCCGGTAGGTTTGGCCGTCTTCTTCCCGGGATATTTTTGGTGTGGGCGGGCGTCTGTGCCAGCAAAATAATATTAGTTCTCTTTTACCGCTCAACTCAAGGGTCCTCATACATATGCCAGGCGCCTACAGGGTCAAATGCAATGGGTGGGTTAAATCTATGAATATATTTACAATGATTTTTTTAAAACCGGGTAACAGACTTTTTTTGTCATAATAAAAAATCAGAATGTCAAATATGTTATTAAAGTTAAATGTCGTCTAGCAGTTTGCGAGCAGCGCTAAGTATATGACCATATATGAGGTATCCGTGTCGACTACCAATCAAAAAAATATGTACATAAGTTTGTATCGTGATTCATACTTTGGCGTACACTTTCTCTCTATTTATAAAACGATGAATGATCTTGCAATTCACTATTACTCTAATGAATCAGAATATTCCACTTGGCTATGTATCTGGGAAATGATTCATTAACCGTTATTGTGACAAAAATATGAATAACTCTACGCACGCCCGTTTCCGCGTTTCATTTACTACAGAAAAGAGAAAACGGAAGGCGTGACTCAACAAAACAAAATAAATTCAAGTCGGTAATTTTTTGAAAATGGCACAAATAATAAAAAGAACAATTAACATACAAAATGGCACAAATAATAAAAAGAACAATTAACATTAACAAAAGAAATATTAGAATGCCTATTAAAATCACTGCATTAGAAATCAATAACCCCTGAAATCTTTAATCTGGAAACAAAAAAATAATATTTCGCCAAATTCCAGGAGTTATCCCAGATGATGAAGCTGAAGACATAAAATCTTGAGTGTGACATCCTTACCTGTTTCTTTGGTTTATTACCATGGATAGACACACAAATATAGTAATAAAGATAAGCAATTCACCACTCACCACAAATCTACTGGTAACAAAACAACGATTAGCTCATGGACTAAATTACGTTGTATTAATTCATATCCTGTATGTGTATATATGTGTGTGTGTGTGTGTGTGTGTGTGTGTGTGTGTGTATCAATATATAAATATGTATATATGTATGTATATATGTATATATATATATATATATATATATATATATATATATATATATATATATTTATTTATTTATATGTACATATATATATATATATATATATATATATATATATATATATATATATATATATATATATATATATGTATGTATGTATGTGTGTATGTGTGTATGTATGTATGTATGTATGTATGTATGTATGTATGTATGTATATATGTATGTATGTATGTGTGTGAGTGTATATATAAATATAAATATATATATATATATATATATATATATATATATATATATATATATATATATATATACACACATATACATACACATGTATGTATATGTATATATATCTGTATATATATACACATATACACACATTTACATATATATGTGTATATATATATATATATATATATATATATATATATATATATATATATATATATATATATATACATACATATATATATATATAAATATATATATATATATATATATATATATATATATATATATATATATATATATATATATATATATATATATGTACACATACACACACATATATGTAGATATTTATGTGTATAGATATGTACACGTATATATGTGGATGTTAATGTATTTTAATCAGTTAATACATCACAACACAAAATAAAGCATACTTTATCTAAAACCAAGGGGAAACTAAACGAATACAATACACTAGCGATATGTAGTTTAAAAACTGTTCGCATTACAGATATCGAGGATATCAGTGTGAAACACAAATTAAAACACAAAACACACATAAAACTATCGTTCTACCGCACACCGAAGCTTGTTCACTGCCAGCCACAAAACTGTACCTTCAAGCCTTAGTGTCGCCATCGTTGTCGCCTTCCCCGCCTTATTCACCGCCTCGCAAGTATACATTCCTTCATCATCTTCCGTTGTGCGAAGGATAGTGAGGGTTGATATCCTGTTTTCGTATCGGATATTGACATTATTAGTCGGAAGGAGCTCGATGCTATTAAAGTACCACTTGATGTCAGGGGGAGGATGACCTCTGATGTCGCAAGTGAAAACAGTCTTCTGGGCAGGTTTGGAAATGACTGCTTCTAAGGGTTTCGGGAAGAACGGAGGGATTAATTCAATGTCCCGAGGTTTCTGATGAACTCGCTTAAGGGATTTGACAGTGATTTCCTTGGAGTCGGTCACCTTTCGTATTATCTCCAAATTAACAGCCTTTACTGGCCGTGTTTCTTCTTGAATAACTTCCTCTGTTTCCGTCGTAACAACACGTCTTTCTAGTTTTGGTTCAACCCTTTCTGGTTTTGTCTTTTTGGGCTTCTTCTGTTTTTCGACTGGTTTGTCTTCTGGCTTCTCTTCTGGTTTTGGTTCTTCTGGTTTATCCTTCTTGAATGGTTTTAAAACTACCTCTTCTTTTTCTTCCTCTTTGGGAGGAATTCTCTTCCTTCTCCATGTAGGTGCTTCAGGCTCTTCCTCTTTCTTTGGCTTTGTCTTTTCTCTTTTAGGCTTTTTGACTGGTTCTTCTGGTTGAGGTGCTTCCTCTGGCTTTTCCTTCGGTTCCTTCTCCCTTTCCGGTTTCTCATACGGTTCCAAGGGTGTTCTCTCGGGCTCAGGAATCTCAGGCTCATATGGTTTACCTGGTTTCCGTTTTGGAGTAGGCTTCGGTTCTGTGGGCTTTCTCCTTTTTGAAGGGCTTCAGAACCACCTCTTCCTTGTCGTCCTTTGGAGGAGGCAGCCTCTTTCCTCTCCATGAAGGAACTTCAGGTTCCTCCTCTTTCTTTTCAGGTTTGGTTCTCTCTTTCTTGGGCTTTGGCTCTTCCTCTGATGGCTTTTCCTCTTCCTTTGGTTTAGGAGCCTCTGGTTCAGATGGAACACGTTCTTTAGGCTTTGGCTCAGGCTTCAGTGGTTCCTCCAGTTTCACCTTTTCCCTCTCAGGAATTTCTGGCTTGGTTCGTTCGAACGGTTCCAGTTCCACTGGTTCACGTTCAGGAATATCTTTAGGAGGTCTCTTTCCAGGTTTAAGAGGAGCCTTCTCCTTCTCCTCTGGTTCTGGTTTCTTTTGGGAATAGGTTTCAACTGAGGTTTCTCAGTCTCTTCCTCCTGCTTCGGTAAGCGTCTGGCAGGCTTAAACTTAATTGGTTCTTCTTCTTCCTCTGGCTTTGGACGACCTTTTCCAAGTTTCAATTTCCTCTCCTCTTCAGGCTCAGGTTTGTCCTTTGGTTTGCGTTGATATTTGCCCTTCTCTGGTTCCTTTTCTTCCTTTTCTTTCTCGGGTGGTATGTACTTCTCATATTTCTCCAACTCAACAGGTTCTTTATCGGGAATTTCCTCGGGCTCATAAGTCTCATATTCCGGTGGTGGACTCCATTTCCTTTTCTCAACCTCAGGTTCAGGTTCTTCAGGTGTTTCCACATGATCGGCTTAAACTTAATTTGTTCTTCTTCTTCCTCTGGCTTTGGACGACCTTTTCCAAGTTTCAATTTCCTCTCCTCTTCAGGCTCAGGTTTGTCCTTTGGTTTGCGTTGATATTTGCCCTTCTCTGGTTCCTTTTCTTCTTTTTCTTTCTCGGGTGGTATGTACTTCTCATATTTCTCCAACTCAACAGGTTCTTTATCTGGAATTTCCTCGGGCTCATAAGTCTCATATTCCGGTGGTGGACTCCATTTCCTTTTCTCAACCTCAGGTTCAGGTTCTTCAGGTGTTTCCACATGATCAAGGTCAACAGTTTCTAGTTTTACTTCCTCTGGAACAAACTCATTTTGTACTGTTTTTCGAAGCTCAACTTTCGGAATTGTATATTCTTCTGGAGCCTCTTGCTTCTTGGGCTTTTTCATTGGCTTCAACTTTACCTTTCCTGGCTCATCTGGTTTCTCTGGTACTTCGGCATCCTTTTCAGGCTCTGGAGTTGGCTTTCTTTCTTCTGGCACTCTATCAGGAACCTTTTCTTTTTCTGGTTTCTCATATGGTTCCAAGGGTGGTCTCTCGGGCTCAGGAATCTCAGGCTCATATGGTTTACCTGGTTTCCGTTTTGGAGTAGGCTTCGGTTCTGTGGGCTTTCTCCTTTTTGAAGGGCTTCAGAACCACCTCTTCCTTGTCGTCCTTTGGAGGAGGCAGCCTCTTTCCTCTCCATGAAGGAACTTCAGGTTCCTCCTCTTTCTTTTCAGGTTTGGTTCTCTCTTTCTTGGGCTTTGGCTCTTCCTCTGATGGCTTTTCCTCTTCCTTTGGTTTAGGAGCCTCTGGTTCAGATGGAACACGTTCTTTAGGCTTTGGCTCAGGCTTCAGTGGTTCCTCCAGTTTCACCTTTTCCCTCTCAGGAATTTCTGGCTTGGTTCGTTCGAACGGTTCCAGTTCCACTGGTTCACGTTCAGGAATATCTTTAGGAGGTCTCTTTCCAGGTTTAAGAGGAGCCTTCTCCTTCTCCTCTGGTTCTGGTTTCTTTTTGGGAATAGGTTTCAACTGAGGTTTCTCAGTCTCTTCCTCCTGCTTCGGTAAGCGTCTGGCAGGCTTAAACTTAATTGGTTCTTCTTCTTCCTCTGGCTTTGGACGACCTTTTCCAAGTTTCAATTTCCTCTCCTCTTCAGGCTCAGGTTTGTCCTTTGGTTTGCGTTGATATTTGCCCTTCTCTGGTTCCTTTTCTTCCTTTTCTTTCTCGGGTGGTATGTACTTCTCATATTTCTCCAACTCAACAGGTTCTTTATCGGGAATTTCCTCGGGTTCGTATGTCTCATACTCTGGCAAAGGACTCCACTGGCGCTTCTCTCTCTCAGGTTCAATAATTTCTGGTGTTTCAACATGATCAAGATCAACAGACTCAAGCTTTACCTCTTCCGGAACGAAAACATTTTGAGTAGTTTTCTTTAGCTGGACTTTCGGAATAGAAAACTCTTCAGGTGGCTCATACAATTTCTTTAATTGCTTCTTTGGTTTTAATTTTGCCTTCTCTGGTTCTGATACTTCTTCCTCTGGCTCTTTTTGAGGTGTTCTGGCCACCTCCTCTGGTCCTTCTACCACTTCCTCAGGTCTCTCTTCCGGTTTAGAGACATCTTTTGGCACCTTCTGCTTTTTAAGCTTTGTAATAGGCTCTTTGGATGGCTTTTCTGGCTCTGGAATTTCGGGTTCATATGGTTTACCAAGTTTGGGTTTGGGACTTGGTTTTGGTTCTTCTGGTTTATCCTTCTTGAATGGTTTTAAAACTACCTCTTCTTTTTCTTCCTCTTTGGGAGGAATTCTCTTCCTTCTCCACGAAGGAACTTCAGGCTCTTCCTCTTTCTCTGGCTTTGTCTTTTCCTTTTTAGGCTTTTTGACTGACTCCTCTTCTGGTTGAGGTGCTTCCTCTGGCTTTGCAGGAATAGGCTTTTCCTCCGGTTCCTTCTCCCTTTCCGGTTTCTCATACGGTTCCAAGGGTGTTCTCTCGGGCTCAGGAATCTCAGGCTCATATGGTTTACCTGGTTTCCGTTTTGGAGTAGGCTTCGGTTCTGTGGGCTTTTCCTTTTTGAAGGGCTTCAGAACCACCTCTTCCTTGTCGTCCTTTGGAGGAGGCAGCCTCTTTCCTCTCCATGAAGGAACTTCAGGTTCCTCCTCTTTCTTTTCAGGTTTGGTTCTCTCTTTCTTGGGCTTTGGCTCTTCCTCTGATGGCTTTTCCTCTTCCTTTGGTTTAGGAGCCTCTGGTTCAGATGGAACACGTTCTTTAGGCTTTGGCTCAGGCTTCAGTGGTTCCTCCAGTTTCACCTTTTCCTTCTCAGGAATTTCTGGCTTGGTTCGTTCGAACGGTTCCAGTTCCACTGGTTCACGTTCAGGAATATCTTTAGGAGGTCTCTTTCCAGGTTTAAGAGGAGCCTTCTCCTTCTCCTCTGGTTCTGGTTTCTTTTTGGGAATAGGTTTCAACTGAGGTTTCTCAGTCTCTTCCTCCTGCTTCGGTAAGCGTCTGGCAGGCTTAAACTTAATTGGTTCTTCTTCTTCCTCTGGCTTTGGACGACCTTTTCCAAGTTTCAATTTCCTCTCCTCTTCAGGCTCAGGTTTGTCCTTTGGTTTGCGTTGATATTTGCCCTTCTCTGGTTCCTTTTCTTCCTTTTCTTTCTCGGGTGGTATGTACTTCTCATATTTCTCCAACTCAACAGGTTCTTTATCGGGAATTTCCTCGGGTTCGTATGTCTCATACTCTGGCAAAGGACTCCACTGGCGCTTCTCTCTCTCAGGTTCAATAATTTCTGGTGTTTCAACATGATCAAGATCAACAGACTCAAGCTTTACCTCTTCTGGAACGAAAACATTTTGAGTAGTTTTCTTTAGCTGGACTTTCGGAATAGTAAATTCCTCTGGTGCCTGGCTGAGTTTTAATGGTTTCCGTTTTGGTTTCAACTTTCCTTTCTCGGGTTCTAAAACTTCTTTCAGATCTTTCTCTGGTGTTTCAGAGACTTCCTCATGTTCATCTACAACATCCTCAGGTTTCTCTTCTTCTGGTTTGGAGACATCTTTTGGCACCTTCTGCTTTTTAAGCTTTGTAATAGGCTCTTTCGATGGCTTTTCTGGCTCTGGAATTTCGGGTTCATATGGTTTACCAAGTTTGGGTTTGGGACTTGGTTTTGGTTCTTCTGGTTTATCCTTCTTGAATGGTTTTAAAACTACCTCTTCTTTTTCTTCCTCTTTGGGAGGAATTCTCTTCCTTCTCCACGAAGGAACTTCAGGCTCTTCCTCTTTCTCTGGCTTTGTCTTTTCCTTTTTAGGCTTTTTGACTGACTCCTCTTCTGGTTGAGGTGCTTCCTCTGGCTTTGCAGGAATGGACTTTTCCTCTGGTTCCTTCTCCCTTTCCGGTTTCTCATACGGTTCCAAGGGTGTTCTCTCGGGCTCAGGAATCTCAGGCTCATATGGTTTACCTGGTTTCCGTTTTGGAGTAGGCTTCGGTTCTGTGGGCTTTTCCTTTTTGAATGGCTTCAGAACCACCTCTTCCTTGTCGTCCTTTGGAGGAGGCAGCCTCTTTCCTCTCCATGAAGGAACTTCAGGTTCCTCCTCTTTCTTTTCAGGTTTGGTTCTCTCTTTCTTGGGCTTTGGCTCTTCCTCTGATGGCTTTTCCTCTTCCTTTGGTTTAGGAGCCTCTGGTTCAGATGGAACACGTTCTTTAGGCTTTGGCTCAGGCTTCAGTGGTTCCTCCAGTTTCACCTTTTCCTTCTCAGGAATTTCTGGCTTGGTTCGTTCGAACGGTTCCAGTTCCACTGGTTCACGTTCAGGAATATCTTTAGGAGGTCTCTTTCCAGGTTTCAGAGATGTTTTCTCCTTTTCCTCTGGTTCCTTCTCCCTTTCCGGTTTCTCATACGGTTCCAAGGGTGTTCTCTCGGGCTCAGGAATCTCAGGCTCATATGGTTTACCTGGTTTCCGTTTTGGAGTAGGCTTCGGTTCTGTGGGCTTTTCCTTTTTGAATGGCTTCAGAACCACCTCTTCCTTGTCGTCCTTTGGAGGAGGCAGCCTCTTTCCTCTCCATGAAGGAACTTCAGGTTCCTCCTCTTTCTTTTCAGGTTTGGTTCTCTCTTTCTTGGGCTTTGGCTCTTCCTCTGATGGCTTTTCCTCTTCCTTTGGTTTAGGAGCCTCTGGTTCAGATGGAACACGTTCTTTAGGCTTTGGCTCAGGCTTCAGTGGTTCCTCCAGTTTCACCTTTTCCTTCTCAGGAATTTCTGGCTTGGTTCGTTCGAACGGTTCCAGTTCCACTGGTTCACGTTCAGGAATATCTTTAGGAGGTCTCTTTCCAGGTTTAAGAGGAGCCTTCTCCTTCTCCTCTGGTTCTGGTTTCTTTTTGGGAATAGGTTTCAACTGAGGTTTCTCGGTCTCTTCCTCCTGTTTTGGTAAGCGTCTGGCAGGCTTAAACTTAATTTGCTCTCCTTCTTCTTCCTCTGGTTTTGGACGACCTTTTCCAAGTTTCAATTTCCTCTCCTCTTCAGGCTCAGGTTTGTCCTTTGGAGTGCGCTTGTATTTATCCTTATCCAGATCCTTCTCATCCTTACTCTTTTCTGGAGGTACATACTTCTCATACTTTTCCAGCTCAACAGGTTCTTTATCTGGAATTTCCTCGGGCTCATAACTGTCATACTCTGGCAAAGGACTCCATTGGCGCTTTTCTCTTTCAGGTTCAATCACTTCAGGTGTTTCAACATGATCAAGCTGGACATCATCGAGCTTTACCTCCTCTGGTACAAACACATTCTGTTTGGTCTTTCTAAGAGGAATTTTAGGAATCGTAAATTCTTCTTTCGGGGGTGCTTCCTTTTGTGGACGTCTTGCCGGCTTTAACTGAACTTTGCCAGGTTCTGCTGGTTTCTCTTTCTCTGGCATATGTACTTCTTGTTTATCCTTGGGCTGTTGGAATCCCTCAGGTACCTTTTCTTTTTCTGGCTTACCATAAGGTTCAAGAGGGGTTTCATCTGGTTCAGGAATTTCAGGTTGATAGGGTTTACCTGGTGTATATTTTGGAGATGGTTTGGGCTCTTTTGGTTTGTCCTTTTTGAAAGGTTTTAATACAACTTCCTCTTTTTCTTCTTCTTTTGGAGGAACTCGTTTTACTCTCCATGGTGGTACATCTGCAGGTTCGTCCTTCTTTTCAGGTTTATCTTTATCTTTCCTAGATTTTACTTCTTCTTCTGGCTCAGCTATTTTGTCATTAGATGGTTTAACCTCCGGTTTTGTTGGGGCTGAGTCTTTCTGATACGGTGGGAACTTGCGTGGCTTTTCCAGTTTCACGTCTTCCTTGTCTGGCATTTCTGTTTTGGTTCTTTCAAAAGGTTCAAGCTCTACTGATTCCCGTTCTGGAAGTTCTTTAAAGGGTTTCTTTCCAGGTTTCAGAGATGTTTTCTCCTTTTCCTCTGGTTCCATCTTCTTCTTGGGTACTGGCTTTAAGTGAGGCTTTTCAGTTTCCTCTTCTGGGGGCTTCGGTAGACGTTTTCCAGGTTTCATTTTAATGAGCTCCTCTTCTTCCTCTGGCTTTTTCTGGCCCTTTCCAAGCTTCAATTTCTTATGCTCTTCAGTCTCAGATTTACCCTTTGGTTTCCTTTCAAATCTATCTTTCTCTGGCTCTTTGCCTTCGTCTGTTTTTGTTGGGTAATCATGTTTCTCATACTTATCGAGATCAACAGGAATTCCATCCGGTATTTCTTCAGGAACATAAGGTTCTTGGTCGGGCAATGGACTCCATTCTCGTTTTTCTCTTGCATCTTTAGGTTTCTGTTTCTTTTCAACATGATCAAGATCGACTGATTCAAGCTTTACTTCTTCGGGTACAAATTTTCTGGGAACAGTCTTTCTGAGTGTTACCTGAGGAATTGAAAATTCCTCCTTTGGTTTTTCAAATGGAATCTTTCTACCTGGCTTTCGCTGTGTCGGCTTCTCTTCATCTGTGTGGAATGCAACTGTTTCTTCTTGACTTGGCATTGGCCTCTTATCTTTAAGAGGTTCTTCTCTGTCAAGAGTGTCTGCTTCATATGGCTCAGTGCTGGATTGTTCAGGCTGAGTAAAGTCTGATACCACAGGTTCATGTGGCTTCTTTTTCTCAGGCTGCTGTTTCTCAAATGGTTTCAGAACTACCTCCTCCTTTTCCTGCTCTTTTGGCACAATCCTTTTTCTTCGCCAAGAGGGCACATCTGCCTCCCCTTCCTGTATATCTGTTGTTTTTCTGTCACCTATTGCCTTTGGCTTAATTTCATCTTTCGTTTTTTCTACATCATTGACGATGGGTGTTGTGCTTTCTGTGTGTTGTTCCTTTTTCAGAATCGGCCTTGGTCTGACAGGTCTACCCCATCTATCTAGTTTTACAGGTTCATCCTGGATTTCACCGGGACGATACTTTTCTATTTCTTCGGTGGACTCATAATTCTCTTTTTCAGTTCCAGTTACACTTTGTTTTTCCACAGGCTTTAGATCTACCTTCTCTAGTTGATTTTCGTCTGGAACCAATTTTGTTCTGTGTGTTTTCTTCAGCTGAACTGTTGGTAGCACAAACTTTTCTGGCTGCACCCTTTCTTTTGGAGGTCGTTTGCTTGGCCTCTTGGGATATTTCTCATCCTCTTTAATTTCTTCATCTGTTAAAATTCGTTTGTCAGTATCATATTCGCTATCAGATACTGTATAAGTGTCAAGAGGAGCCTTTCCTTCAACCGGCTTTTCTTCCTTTTCCTTTTGGAAAGGTTTCAATGTTACTTCCTCTTTTTCGTCATCCTTATGAGGAATCCTCCTCGCTCTCCATGAAGGAACCTGATCATCCTGAATGTCTTTTTCTTCCTCCCTTGGCTTCCTTTTGGGAACCGGTTTTAACTGAGGCTTCTCACCTTCTTCCTCAGGTTTGGGAAGATGTTTTCTTCGCCCAAGCTGAATCTGTTCTGTGGACTCTTCATCAGGCTTCAGTCGTCTTCTGCCAAAGGATGAATCTTTGCCATCTTTTAATCCTTTCTTGCCTCTTGTTTTACGTTGATACCTCTCCTTTTCTAATTGTACCTTTCCTTTTCTTTTGGTGTCTGTTCTCTGCTTTTCATATTCTTCTCGGTCAATAACATCGCTCTCTGAAACACTATCAAACTCATAGAGGTCATACTCTGAATCAGAACTCCATTCCTCTGTATCTTTTATGCTATCTTCTTTTTTGTGCTTCTCAACGTGTGCAAGTTCAACTTTTTCAAGCTTAACTTCCTCAGGAGCCATTTTCTTTATCTGAGATTTTTTCAATTCGACCTTAGGAATTGTCAATTTCTCTTGTCCTTTCGGTTCCAATTTTCTATCAGTTGATTTCTTCAGTTTCCGAGCAGCTAATCCTATATCCTCTTTCGGCTTTTCGTAAAGCCATGGCGCCTTTTCTCTCTTCTTCCTCTCTAACTCTTCTTCGGTTGTCTGCTTCCCGTCTCCTGGTCGTGCTGGGCTTCGGGAGAACCATCTGGCTGGACTGGGAGATACCCATCTATATTTTCTCGACTCTCGCTCATCTCTCCTGCTGGTGCGTCGGATAGAGTCTTCTTCCTCTCTATAAACACCTGGAGAAAATCAATCCCACCTGTAAGCAATACATATACACCACATCTGGTACTAAAGGATGCATGAAGGGGTTTGTCATTAGATTGGTACTCAGATATTTCCTCTGTCGCAATGACGATTTATATATAACTCAGTACTTACAAAATAATACAATAAAGACAAGGATTTCCAATGAC